GTGGCGGAGTGGAGAGCGGAGCCATGGCGAGGCTCAGCCATCCGAACATAAGCCCGAACGCTGACATAGGTTGGAGATACCCAATGTCATGGATAAGACCCGGCCCGTCCGCTCCGGTGCTGGTGTCAGGCCATCGCGGGCCCGTAGCACGCAGCACGTGACGACGGGGAACATGCGCCCCAGTAGGAGGAACGCACATGTGGGAAGCACGTGACCAAGAAGACGACGTGTCGAGCCGTCGCCGAGCCCAACTCGACACAAGGGGACTGGGGAGGAGTGCTAGGAGGTTAGGAGTAGCACCTGGCCCGCAAGGGATGTACGATCGTCCCCTCTGTGGCCAGGAACGGGGGCGAGGAGGAGCAGGAGAGGTCAGGGTGTCCGATCACCCCTTTGCGGGCCCGCATATATAAGACGCGATAGTGTACTCTGTACTCTATTGCTTAGATCATCTGAACAACTACCTCACTCCGTGCAAGGAGGCGCTATCGACTCATCGGGCCCAACACGACCCGATTCGACCCTTCAACCACCGACAGCGACAAGGGACTGAGTTCATGGGCCCTTTTGGTTTCGATCTACCCCGCCCGCCATACTTGCGGGCCCGACTATCCGTCTGTTCTGTTCTGGGCGCACATTCTTAGGAGAGGTCCTTGCACGGCCCGACCCGCAGTCTGACACTCAAGAGGTAGAGATCGCAGGGAGACCTCAATGAACAACAGCCTGGAGAGGCTATAGGGCCATAGGCTTGAGGTCTCAGAGGAAAGTGGTACATCCACATCTGGAGAGGTCTCCAATGATATTAGTGATCCCTGATGGCGACTTTCAAGAGACTCCCAGAAAGGGGTGGCCAAGGGAGTCGAAGACTGGGGACCACTAGATGTGGGATGTGGTGGAGGTGGTGGAGGGAGAGTGTTAGGGTATGAAGACACGGAGATGCGAGTGGATATGCGGAGACATGAGGGGAGACGCGGCACTTGATAGGATCAAGTGAGAGCATCAGGGTTTGCCCTGACAAGTTTATGAAAGTCAAAAAATAAACTACTCCATGTCCTTCACAACCCCCCATTGCATGATGTTTAATTGTATCTGGACGCTTACAAAGTGCCTATTTTTGTGGGCCGCGATTATGTCCAGGGATGCGGGCGACTAGGTAGCTAATGTCATCCACATCAATTACTTCGATAGGCAGAAACTTGTTGTCCTAGTAGAAAGGGAAGCTGAGGTGCTTGCTATGGATGATGATACAAACAGCAAGCAGAAGAGTGTAATGGTAGGCTTCAAAATCGTCACAGAACTGGGTTTCAAACTCAAGAACCCAAAGAAATTGGCCATATGCAACTCAACACTCTTCTATCACAGATTGGTGGCAGAAGCACTCATTGTGATCCACAGAATGAGAGTACTAATGGTCAATCAGTCAAGCTTTCAAGTTCAGACATGTTCCACTGGCGCACCTTGATAAATGAGGCATCACATGTTATGTTTTCTCCAGACTGGGGCATGAGTTCTGTGGCTTGTATCTTGTCGCTGCCACCAAGAAATGAGATCCGGCCCCAGTGTGTAAAAGTGAAAGGGAGACATGCATTTGCCTCCCCCTCACAGAGCTGGTAGGCTTGCATTAAATGCTTGCTTACCGCCCGAGCAACATTGCGGTTCAATGGACTCTCAGCCATGTGGGTAGAGAATACGAATGTTGGAATCTGGGAGACAATCAGCAGGAGGCAGGGATAAGGGAAAAGGAATTACAAGAGGCAACTATATGACCCTGTGAAACCTTCTCGCAACTGTTGGATGAATCGAGCTTGTCAATACAACTTTCATCTTGTGACAATCTGTGACATTTGCTGATCATTTTCCTGTCAAATTGTAAAAAATTTCTGTTTTGGAAATCCTTGTTACTCCCAGTCATACTTATATAAAGGTGTGACACAGCTGTACATTATTAGTGGCAACCTGCTGGGTTGCCACTGACAACTTGTAGTGCTGGCAGCACCTCCCAAGTGGTGAATAATTGCTGAAAAGGGGGGTTGAATAATTCTGAACTCTAAGGCAAATTTCTGTAAGTCAAATAGGTAGGGGGGTGAATAAAGGTGAATAATACAACACAGGCTATCCTGACCAAGTCCCCCCAAGTCACACTATGTGACTCATGACTCAGTGTCCCAAAAAGGAAATTTACTTTGATAGACACTAGTGCTAGTGGTTATAATGTTTGTGTCATGCTTTTATTGCTTTTATATACAGGGTCACAGACAATAACAAGTATGCCAAATTTCCTAAAAAGGAAATTTTGCAGCTCAACACAGGAATCATCAGAGAGTGTCACACATTGTCACAAAATCAAAGTTATGTATTTTGGCTATATGATCAACTTCCATTAAGTGGCCTATAGTGACAGCTGAAGTGTTGACCCAGCACTAGCAAATCAATAGCTGATATATAACTGATAAGATCAATAGGATGATATCTTGATAACTAGAATAGCTACAGAGTTGATTCAAGCTTTACTAAAGATACCTGAATAGTAAAATATTAATCTCTACCAATACAATATCATCAGTATATATATCATAGTATATATATCACACCAAATGATTATTTATCAAGCATATTGATCCAGCAATATCTTCACCAGTTCTGGATAGATTCAGATGACTGTTCTACTAGTAGGTAGGTAGCTACCTATTCTTTATATGTTTTGTTTGGGAGCATAGGCATATACCTTAAGCCTATACTATATCAGGGACTTGATGTCAATGGCCTGTATGGTATTCAGCTTTATTCAACCCCTACATTCTGGACTTAGTGCAAAATTTGGATTAGAAGTTCAAGTTTATTCAACCCCCTACCTAGAATTATTCAGCCCTCAGGGCATTATAAAAAAACTGAGCCTTATCACTACCACCCCGGCACCATACCACTGATAATTTACAGTGATTTGTGGTCTAAACAGGTGTGGAGGAGATTTCAGTCATTGACTCAAATGGGAAGGTGTGACAATTTCTATAGGCGGGGTGCCCTTGCTGTGCCTGCTTTCACTGTAACAAACTATCTCACCTGAGATTGTCCCCTCCTGGCTGATGTCCCAACTTGGTGACAAGATGTTAGCAGAGTTAATCACCTAACATTCACAGGTATTGACACTTGTGAGGACTCTGAGGAGCTTTACTACTCTGACACGGCTGCCCTGTGAGAAACGACTGTGGAGACACCTGCTAGAGAGGATTTTATCCCCTATAATGAGTGACTAGTATGCTCTTGTTGGCATCCATAAATCCTTTTGCTTGTTTGTATAACAAAATCAGTTCCTTTGCCCTACAACAAGCCTAAAACAAAAGACATACCCTCTCCTGTCCCTGTTCCGTCTAGTGATTGTTACGGGTGCGGTGGCCTGCTTTGGGTGCGGGTAGGGGCCTGCCCTCTAGAAGTTTCAGGTGCAGGCTTGGGCCCGCGGGCCTTGGCTGTGGAGGTGCCGGAGCTGCCCGGCTTACCAACGCCAGCGCTGGGGTAGAGCTTGACAATCTCTTGGGTTCAACAACCAAGCAGCACCATCTCTCATGTGCAGGAGGGGTCATCAACCTGATGGCCTGCGCCTAGGTTGCCGCAGCTACCCGAGGCCTACCCGAGGCCCGTGTCTAACTGGCGGGTACCCACACCTATGGTCACGGGCCCAGGCCATCAGCGGGTACAGGTGCGGGGCACCCCAATGCCCATATTTACCCACAGGTGGCCCGTGACAAATACTAGTTCCGTCTCTGCCTCTGTCCCCGGAGTAAACTAGTTAGAGTCCACCACCAGCGGCATGCTAAAGCTTTCGCTCTCCAGTTTGATCAACTGCAGTGCCACCTCTGACTTCATTGACACTAACTATGTTGCTTGGAATGGCATTCTGGTTCGAACACTTGATCAGCTAATCCCAGTATACTATGTCTAGATGCTAAATTATGGCTGCTATGAGCAGAGAATAGTCATAGGACTGAACTTATGTCAATATTTCAGAACTCAGATATGTGAATCTGAGGTCACAAATGTGACAATACTGACCAAATACTGTCCTATTTTGGTCAACTGTCTGTGTTACATATTACATTGGCCAAAAGGTCCTTATAAAAAATTACAATAAATCAAAAGAAAAACTTTTGGTCCCAAATTTTGAAAAAGTTGTGGACACTTGATTAAAATGGGACAGGCATCACAGGATGGAAGTTTACTGATGAGTAGGGCTCCCAACCGTACCCGTAAATTTACGGGTATACGGCACCATAAGTACGGTACGGGACCCGTACCGTAGTTGGGCCCAGCGCTCGGTCCGACGGTACGGGCCCGGGACGCCGGCATGACCGATACGGGCATCAGACACCCGTAATCAGGCATTTGGGCGAATTAGGGCTCGTGCGTTGTTGGTTCATATCTTTTGAAGGTAAGAAAGCCAATTCTGGCAATTTTTGACACTTCAGCTGACCACTGATCTTTGATTTCGCTCAAAAGAAGCCCGTTTTCGGCCGTTTACAGTACGGTTTATGGTCATACGGGACCGTATCGTAACCATCTGTCAAGCCATGATGTACTGTACGGGCTTCACCGTTCCGTCGCCAAAGACGGCAGTATTTCCGACGGCCGTCCCCGTATACGGGACAGTTGGGAGCCCTACCAGTGATGAGATACAGGGAGATGTATATACAGCCTCATATTACCTGAGACCCTATGGAAACACCTCCTTATACTTACTGATCAATGTCTAATACTTAAAAAAATAACTACCAAAACAAATGTCAAGGCCCACTGGGGAGGGGACTGAGCGACCGGCGTCATGTGCGTTGATCTATCATGCCTCCCTTTGGCGTCCACACAGCAGATTTAGCAAGATAGCCATGCACGAGCCTCATAGGAGATTTGCTGGCGGGCCGGAGGCAACACGTGTCAAAGTCACAGTCATGGTCATGGTACCGGTCGTGACCTTGTCACGGTCATCAGTCATGCACAAGGCTTCTCTCCTCACCATGACAGGCACCCAACAAAATCAAGCAAAGGCGCCGGGATCCGCGGCAAACCCCGCTCTCTCTCTAGACGAATCTGCACTCGAATCGACTTACGCCGCACTAAGAGGCATTGCGGCGCCAATAACGCGACTCCCATCAAAAGTGCTGGGTCAGGTATTCGTCCGCTGCCTCCCGGCGACCAACTTGAACGCGGTCCTCTGCGCAGAGTTGCCGCCGCTCGTCCTTGGGCGTGTATGTAGCGGGTGGCGCACGGCGGCGTGGACGACGCCGGTGTTATGGACGAGGCTCCACGTGGCAGTCGCTCACGTGTGTGCGCGGCCCGGGGCGGCCGCTGCCATTGAGGCTTGGGTCCAGCGGGCTGACTACTTGCCGTTGAGGCTGTCGGTGGCGTATCGCCCGGGCCAGTCAGTGGACGCCGGCTTCCTCCGGTGGCTCATGGCGCTTTGCGAGGGCCGGCTCGCGCATCTGCAGCTGATTGACCCGCCGCTGGCGCTGGATGCGGATCTCCAAAGCGTGCGCTCTTTGCGGATCACAAGCACCCCCGATGCGCTTGGGCATCGTGACCACGCGATGTGGGCCGTGCCCCAGCTCACTGCGCTGGCGCTGGACCTGCGGCGCGGGGCGCCGGTGGGGGAGCGCTTCGGGCGGGAATTCTTCGCGCTGCCACTGCGCTGGGGCCAACTCACGTGCGCGGCCCTCCGGGACGCCGTGGAGCCGGGCGTGATCGCCGAGCTCCTCCGGCGTTGTCCGGGCCTCCGCCGGCTCGTCGTCCGCGTGCAAGCCCCATTCCGGTCCGCCGCCGACCCCGCGCTGGTGTCGCACAGCGCGCTCGAGGCGCTCATCATGCTTGGCGGGGACAACGCCTCAGGACACGACGTCACGGACTTCTTAACTGCGGCGGTAGCGCTGCCAAACCTACGCAGGCTGTCTTTGCCCGCGACCACCACCGGCGACCTCCCCCTAGCGCTAGGCACGCTCTTCCCACGGCTCACGGAGCTGTCGCTCTCTCTCAAGTCCGTCCGGAGAAACACGCTGCTCGCCGCGCTGAACGGCACCAGCACCCTCATGGCCCTCGACCTCCGCTACGACGCCGGCCCGGTCGGCTGGAGCCTGCCGCAGCTGCTCGAGCTCCTCGCGGCGCCGGACCGAATGCCGCTGCTCGACCGGATCACGCTAGACTGCGTCGGCGACTTCGAGCTCGCGGAGATCCCCGTGAGCGACGCGCTTCGGCGCATTGTGGCAGCGCGCGCGGGCACGCTCCGGGCACTGCGCCTTTGCAAGCCGCAGCACGCAGATCGGGAAGAATGGGCTCGCGTGTGTGCGGCGGCAGCCACGCTGGGCGCCGCGGAGCTCGTGTCGCTGGCAGAAATGCGCGTGGACGAGGATACGCGATTGTTCGGCCCGACCGGGCTGCGGCGGGGAACGGACAGCCCAAAGGCTGGCGCGTGGGAGGGGACTCCTGCCGTGAGCACGGATTGGATGTCGGTTTGACGTTGGGTCCAAGGAATATGCATTTGAACGCAACCTGTGATTTGACATGATCTAGATACAAAGTAGTAGATGCTGATGAAATGTTCTCAAATCCTGATTCCTGTTGCCATGATAACAGCCAAGATGACATGTGGAAGATATCAGTGGCCTATAGGCGAACACTAAAGGGAGGCTGTGTAGCCAATGGCTAGGCAACACCAGCGGACCGGGAGTTGTGTGGGACCAGGATCCATTACTATAAGTACCACGAGTAGAAGAGTGCTTCCTCCAAGTCCTTAGACTCTTATCCCAATTATTCATGGAACTGGCAATTGTTGATGATCAGGACCCATTGATCAAGTATCAGGGGGTACTGTTGTATTTTATTCAATTCGAATGCCAAAAGTGGTGTGACATTCAATACGAAAATATCAATTCGAATTATTTCCTAATTAGGAAACTCTTGGCGCCGGAGGCGCCCGGAAATGTCATAAATTGCCTTTTTGGGAGAGGATTTTGAGCAAAATGGTGTGACATACGAAAAAATTTCGAATTTTATAGCTACTGTGACACGTGACATACGAACTGAATAAAATGCTACAGTATGGTACACATTTGGCAGTCAACAGGAATATGCACAGACAACACATTGTGCTGCAAGCGTCGGTGCCACAGCTTCAATCACATTTGAGGGTATGTCTGCCTCAAATCCACAATTATTGGTATTGTTGTATTTAATTAAAGCACTATAGGCACTGCCATCACCGTCTATGGAACAATGGCAACTGGCTTCAGTGCCAAATCTGCTACAATGACCTTCACACTGGACAATATTCTGCAGAAGACATTATATCCTGTAGTGGATGCTGCATCACCAATATACCACAGCATCTTCTATGCCTCTGGGAACATCACTAGTGGCACCCATACACTGGTTCTTGAGCAGCAGACAATGGATTCTCAACAGCCTACTGGATGTTGCTTTTATTTGGACTATTTCACATACTCTACCTCAAGTGATGTAGCCACTGGCACTGCTCTGGTAGATGACCAAGATACCAGGATTATCTATTCACCATCAACATGGACCACAGTTCAGGATAATTCATATATGATGCACACAAGTCATGCAACTACTGCCAAAGGTGCTACTATGGAATTCACTTTCAAGGGTATGGTTTAATTACAAGCTATAGGGCATTTAATTCAATGTTTTGCAGGGCGTGGAATCTCATATTATAATAGCATTCCGCAGAATAATAATGCCAATGCATCTATCTCTATTGATGGCAGTCAGCAAACATTGTTGATGCCTACTATAGATACTTCTAGTGCCAAACATCTGTACTACCACTCTGGCCCCTTAGATGATGGTCAACATATTCTCCATATTACTGCAGAGAATGATGAACCAATCTGGATTGACTATCTGCTTATCACTTTATCACCTGGAGCCAAATCAATATCTTCCTCAAGCTCTTTTAGAACAGGGACCCCATTGGTCCTATCTACTACAGGAATTTTACCCTCTATATCTACATCTCCGAGTCATTCTTTGGACTCTGTGTCCTTGGTCTCAACCCAGGATACACCTATAACAACCATGCAGCATGACAGTCATCCCCTTTCTAAGCACGATGTCACTTGGATTATTGTTTCTGTGGTTGGCGGACTTTTGCTGCTAGGGGCAATCATACTTGGGAGCCTGCTCTGGGTGAAACATAAACAACGGCAAAAGGAACATATATCTGTTATTCGTATGTACAAAGTTTATAAAACATTTTGTGTATTAATGAATTTTTAGAACAGTTTAATTTAGAGCAGGGAGGATCTTTTCACTCACAGTCTGTGAAGGTAAGGAGGAGGATGGAGCATATATCTCATGTAAACCAGATAGTCTGTGTGACCCAATATCCACAGGAGCAGAGAGGACATATTGATGGAAGTACCAGACCCCCATCTTATGTTACCCATACTCCAAATTAGCTCTCTGCATAATGCCCATGGCAGAATGATTTTTGCTAAAATACTGCCTGGCAAAATGGCAGTACCAATACTGCCAGGATATTGCCAAGTGGCAAAAATCACGTGCCCGTCGAAGCACGTGCTATATTTGAAGTACCGTAATTTACAAAAATTCATTGATATCCCAGTCTGTGTCCCCTCCAGCGCGTACCACATTGACTTTATAACCCTCTTCGTGGGGCACAACATGATCGAGTGCCTTCTTGACAAGATTGAAGTCTTAGATGTCGCCATCCATCAGTGACAGCTGATTTGCTCATTTCTTCTTTTTCCGTGATCCCAAGGCACTCGCTGGGGGGAGCTCATCATCAGAGCTTTCGTCCACCGGCTCTACGCCTGCTACCTCGGGATCCTCTGCCTCACCAACAAGTGTCTTCTCCAGCTCAACAAAGGCAGCTTCTACCATATCACCGTCTTCATCATCACCATTCATCGGCTCTTCCCATTCCTGAATACCAATGGAGCATGCAAGAGGTGGAGACTCTACGTCAAGACTCCTAAGAATTGTCTTATCTCAGAGACATTCTTCAAAGGAGGCCATCGTGTAATGACTCCCACTCGATCCGTCGACGGCCTTCTTCCTTCGTACGAGCACGTATGGCCTACAACCACGAATTCATCCGCACACAACACCGCCTTCATGCCAGAAACCGTCAAACCTGAGTATTTCAATCTCTGAACTACTCGATTCACGTTCTGCATGTGCTCCCAGAAGAATCTACGAATCCCCTTATTCTCAGGTATCGTTTCCTCTTCTCCGTTCTCATCCTCATATCGCGTTGCTGGTCCTCGAATAGGTACATCATCGATATATGGCATCGAGAGATGGGAACCAGACACCGGAAGCAGCTTCCACCAAGCCTGTGCGTTGTCCTGGCCACCAATAAATGGTTCCTGACATCCATGGTAGGCCGTCATATCCGTTGCGAGTAAGCCCACTTCCTCCTTCGACCACTTCCACTTAATCTTTGCAATTGTTAGCGCTGTTTCCTTCATATCACGGAGCGTGAATCCGGGGACATCAACAACTGCGAACTTTCGACACAATGGATGCAAAAAGAGGGCGAGCTGGTGGATCGGAGTTGCCATCATGCGAAATCGCTTGTCAACAACAGCAAATGCATGGCTCTTGAATGTGGTAACATCTCCAGGCTCGTCTTTAAGCTCTGCCAGCTGATACGCAGCCCCAAGGAAATTCAGCATACAATCAGCCAGAGTGACGTTCCGACCCTCTGATTGTGCAATTGAATCGACAAACGGCTTGGCGACCCGAATTATCTGGCTGATTGTTGACCAGAAGCAATCATCGGGGTCTCGGATAATGCGAACAACATCGACATTTATGACGGAAAAGCCATTGGTTTGGACACGAGCGTTGGGACGAGCAACAATGGTGTTGAGTGGAACCTGGTATGCAGAGACGCTGCGCAATAGCAGAATCAGTGCGTACCATTGGGAATCACAGTTCTTTTTCAGCCCACGATTAATGTTTTCTAGTGCAGCCATGGTCTTCAACTGCCCACCCCAATAATGCGAGCTGTTGAAGAACGTAACAATGCGATTGGCCTTCTGAATCTCCGCTTTTATACGTGGGTAGCGACAAATCTCGCCAATAAGTGTGTTGAGACCATGAGCCCAGCACGCCAAGGTCTGAATGATATGTAAGCATGCTTTTTGGTCAAGAGCTGGCAATACACACAATTAACCACTTGTACTTGTTCTCTAGCTTCTTTTCGAACGGCCTTCATCACCATTGGATTGTCGGTGACAGCAGCAAGAAAGCAACCTGCGTTCTTGATTCCCATCCTCTTCATCGAGTCCTGCGCTGCCTCAAGTATCTTCTCCGCGCTTCCCCGTGATCCAGTCAGGTCCTTTAAGCCCATCACAATAGTGGGTTCCCCAACACGAGCAGCTGCAGTGCCATACAAGGAGCGGTGTAAGATATCCTCGCACCCATCTATAAGCAATGTCCCGCTTCGCTGCCAAGTGGTCAACTCTTTGACCATCCCAAGATGGACATCGCTGAATTCGGCGTCGAGAAGAAGAGTTGACATTGTAGTGCAGGAGGCAATGTTGAATGAGGGACAGATTTCATTTGTGAAGTCAGCCAGAAAGATATTGTTGGCATTAATGAAGGCTGTATTCGAGTGAATGAAGTATCGCAGAAGTTTGCGATTTGCAGTCGTCTGTTGCACCTTCGTCATGGGGTGGTCGACGTAGCCGTTTAGGTTTGCCTGTTTGGCCTTCTGAACTACTTTATGTTTCTTTGCTGGTGGTGCCGCATCATGCACAACAGTGCCCTCGCTAGCCTTGCCCCCTGTCCCTTCATCATCGGAATGTAAGTCGCTTCTTGTTCGCCATTGCAACAAATGCTTCTGTTACAACTTCCGGAGGTGGAGGTGGGCTACCATGGCATTTTCCCTCTGTAAAGTGTTTGAACGCATGGTTTTCCCGGTGCTCAAGCTGGTCTTCACAGTAGTTACAGATATAGACGTTGTGCTCAGATTTGTTGGCTACTTTGCCGAGGACAGTGTAGTAGAGCTCGAGGAATGGATGGACTTTCCGGGGCATGGTCCAAGTCGAAGAACAGAATTATTATAATATTAGCACACCGGCTACCAATGTATTCACATCATTGATTACATAGTACCCTGCAGGGCAGCGACGGCCTTTGACCCAAGTGGCAATATCCATTCTGCCACCCCCGAAAAAATTTATGGATGATAATGCCACATAGTGCCATCTGCCAAGTGGCAGTTTGGCAGAATATATTTATAAACCAGCAACATTATCTCTGCACAAGGTATAGTGCAAAAAATTCAATATTATTATGGTTTTCTCACAGTGTGCCAAAGTGACCAGAATCACACACTTTTCATACACAAGAGCAATTATTTTGACACAAAAAGTATATATACACGTTCAATAGCAAGTATGGCATCCCTTTGCATCAACTACAGCATTCACAATTGCCAGCATCTGGCTTATAAGCTGATCTATCTCTTCTACCATGATTTGATCTCAACAGTCAAGAATCACTGCACAGAGGGTATTGTATGAGGTGGGATGGGGTGTGTAGACCCGGAGGCACTTCTTGAGTCAATACCACAGTGGCTTGATGAGCGAAACATATGGTGAAGTTGGTGGATGCAGGAATAAATTGATATTGTGATCCTCGAGCTAGCACTGAGTCAGCTTGACACACTGGCAATGCAGTGGTGCACTGTCCTGCTAGGAGCAGAATCTGGGTTGCCAGCACTTCATTTTGTGATAGAAGTTGAGGAGTGGTAGTGATGGCTAAGTGCAGTTTGGTCCAGTTCTTGGCCTAAACACCCGACTGTCAGTTTGGTTCAAAATAGGGCCTAGGTTTTATTGGGGTGTTTCGAAACTGGTTTTAAATTTGTTTGTAAACACCTTCTCCCAGAATGCCCTGTTTTTAATATTTGTATTAGTAAGCATCCAAAGGGAGGCAGGACCAAAGAACAGTACTCTTGACAATGTTTATGGCCAAGTCAGAACTAATTGTCCTGATTTTCAAGTTGTCTGAATATCGAAAACTTCACCATTTAGGACAAGGAGAGGGTACTATCTGCTGCTGTTGATATGATTAAATAACTATTAAGACCATCAAACTTTGACATATAATGAAAATAGTTTTTGGATAGTATTTTGTTGGCTAATATAAGGAACTATGGATACTAAAGCAGATATTTTAGGCAAAAATCTATCCTAGAATAGAAAATTTGGTTCATTTTGGTGATCTCAGCCAAGGTGTTTATAAACTTAAGAAACAGTTTAAAAACAGATGTCTGAGGAGGTTTTTTTATGAAACAGGTTTGATAACCTAGAAATTTTTTAAAAACCAGGCCCTAGTTCAAAACCTGGATTTGATGAACCTGAACGCCAAACCCTGGTTAGAACGGGCCTTGAACCGGCACTTTTAGGGCAAAAAATGCCGAACCCGGCCGAACCTGAGCTCCAGTTCGGTTTGGAAAGGGCTTTGGCCTATGGCGGTCAAAGTGGGGAAGTGTAAGGGGAGCATGTGATGTGACAGCTGTGACTGATCACGTGACTGGTCCGTGCGCAGATAGCCCTGTACTTAAGTAGTTGGCCGTGGGGCTGTTCCCCCGGCTTTGGTATCAACTAGGCACCTGGACCCTCATCCCCTGACAGCATACCAAAGCCTCTATATCGACTCTGGCACTCTTCTAGCCCCAGTTGATCCTCTCTATCTCCTATATTCGTCCTCACCCTACTGTGCTTGCCTTCTCTCCTCCAATGACGACTCCCGGCGTCTCTGTTGACCTGTATTCGTACTGCCTGCTTCTGCAGAGCGAAATTACTCGCCTCACCGACCGTCTCGACCGTCTTGAGTATGGTACGCCTGCTCCACCCCCTGCTCCCCCTTCCCCTGGTCCTACATTCCATGGTGTCTGGGACGGCAGTCGCTGGGTTCTTCCAACGATCCCGGCCCCTACCCCTGCCGTCATTGCTGCGGCCCACACTTCCATACCACTTGCCGAAACCTTCCCCCCTACTGCGCCCGACACTGTCACGCACTTCTCTTGTACGCTTGTGGTGCCTGACTCGGCTGTCGGGCATATCGTGGGTCACGGCGGCAAGGGTCTCCACCAAGCTCACGACACTTCCGGTGCTCAGTTGCGCGCGTACTCTGATCGCGCTGCGCCTGGCGAGCGCCGGGTCTCTATCCGGGGAACCGACCAGCAAATCAGTGAAGCGCTTATCGCGCTTGGGAAACGGTTCATGCGCAAGCGTGTCCGTGCGAAGAAGCAACGTCAGCCACCGTCTGCTGAGGGACCTGCCCCCCCTCCTCCTGCCGCGCCTGTGCCTGTACCACGTGCCACGAAGATGGATGACGACCGTGCCCCTCTGCACCGCTCGTCCACCGTGATCCACGCCCGGTCTCAGGTGCCCCGCGCCACCACTGCGGTTCGACCTGCCACTCATCCGAGGGCCTCGGCCGCTGGTGGGCCAGCTGGGCATTCGCGACTGTCTTCCCCCCTCTTCCCGTCTTCTCTACCCCGCCAACCTGCCGCCGCCACTACCCCACCTATGCAGGCCGCGGCACCATCTCTTCCTACCCCCCAGCCTTACCCTACTCCCTTCGCACCCTCGGTGGTTATGGCCACTCCGTCGGCGCTGACCAGCGCGTCACCTACCCCGATCGGCTCTCCTATGCAGATCGACGTAGCTCACGCCCGGCCGCGTAACCGGCAGACTGCCCGACGAGGGGGCGTACCTGCGCAGTCATCGCGCGTCATAGGCGACAACCTCTATTTCCCTGGCGATCCCGAATATGAGTTCGCAGAACCCTACACTCCGCCTATCCGTCGAGGCGACGGATCTTGAGGAGGGGTTGGTGTAAGGGGAGCATGTGATGTGACAGCTGTGACTGATCACGTGACTGGTCCGTGCGCAGATAGCCCTGTACTTAAGTAGTTGGCCGTGGGGCTGTTCCCCCGGCTTTGGTATCAACTAGGCACCTGGACCCTCATCCCCTGACAGGAAGTAATAATTTTACACACACTTTGTAAAAAAATTGAGTTTTCCGCAACATTTTGAAGAAAAAACCATTTTCCGCAACTTTATTTTCTATACTTGACAAAAAGTTGCGGATCACATCTGTTCCCAAAATCCGCGAGATATTTTCAAAAGTATATATTTTCCGCAACATTTATTTCTCGCAAGACTTTTCACGACCTTACCTCAGCACAACATTTTCCTCCGGAACTCCGCCGGCGACTCCACTTGCAGCGCGACGGGGAGCGCCGGGACGCGCCGAACGCGCCTGAACACGTCCCATGAGACTGTCCTGACGTGACCGGCGCAGGCCGAGAGCGATTCCGGCCCAAACTGCGAGTTTTTACCCAAACCGGGCAAACTCGGGCTCTGCGATGGCCGCCAAGGCCACGCGATCGCGTCGTGGGGGGTGGCGTATGAGCGTAGGTGAGTGCTCTATCGCTGGAAATACCTCCGCTCAGCATTGATATCCAGAAACATGTAGCGGAGCGGCCGGCAGTTCATCGTCTCAGCCTGGTCGTTCAGCGCTCGGTCGGGACGCCCGGAACCGGTCTTCTCGGTCAAGCCGTGGCCCGTGAGCCATTTCCAATGGATTCCGCTGGTGTGCGAATCCAGCGCGCGTCAGTGGACACTGGATCATGAGCTTGTGCCTGCATCTGGCAGTATCACGTCGCACGACACGACCATATGCCAACTATTATTGAGTCCCGGGCGCTGCAGCACGCGCAAGCCATAGCAGATAGTGGGAATGACTGGTATTGAAGATAATGTTGCGCAAAAAAAAAAAGTTGTGCAAAAAAGTTGCGGAAATTATGCACGTCGAAAATATCTCGCGGATTTTGGGAACAGCTGTGATCCGCAACTTTTTGTCAAGTATAGAAAATAAAGTTGCGGAAAATGGTTTTTTCTTCAAAATGTTGCGGAAAACTCAATTTTTTACAAAGTGTGTGTAAAATTATTACTTCCCCACTTTGACCGCCATATTGGCCAAACGCAAACACCAAACCTTGGTTCTGTCCGGTTAAGTTTGCGTTTGGATGGAATATTCAAACCAAACATGGCCATCACTAAGGAGCGGACCCTTGAGGACCTGATCAATATATCTGGCTGCCATTATGCCCCTGCCCTTGCCGCCCAGGTACTTGAGAGCCATCGACGGACCTTTCTCTCCTTTGGTGATGACACCCCACATCACAAATCAGGTTCTGAAGCACCATTCCAACACAGCATTCATCCAAGAGCTCCTCCCCAAGCTTCCTTATAACCCACATATTTGCCCTTTAATTTGTCCAGATGGATGGAACATTTGTCAGACCAACTGATGTTTTGCCACTGACTCAGATCTGCATCCTGGAGGCCAAGCACCCTGTTGTACCACTTCTGCTTGGTGGTCTTGCCATGGAATGGAACCTTGCACGTGATTTGGCATGGATATGCATCCTCCTTGACTATTAATTTGGCGGTTTTCTGTGAGACACAAGGTGTGAGCTTGTTCCTGATATCACCAAGCGGTTTGTGGCGATTTTCAATGGCAATGTCACAGACTCACAGATAATGGTAAGGGCAAACCGGAGGCTCCGACAAAAGCCTAGCAGGGGAGGATCCAAAGAGGAGAAACTCTAAGGGTCTGCCTACTAGGGTGCCAACTATATACTAGTCATCCATAACTGCCGATGTGCAGAAGGCCTGCGTGGCGTCGCAGGCTCTGTCCCAAGATGATCATTGGGAGGGTCTTGACTGATTGGTGATTGTGTGGGCAAAGGAGGCTGTGGACAACAGTTGGGGTGGGTTGGAGCATCTGAGGGGGTGCTAGTCGGATTGATCTTGGATGCATTCAGACGGTCCAAGGGAGGCCAAAGCAGGGGGTTCCCCTGATAATAATGGCCTTCTCCAGAAGGTTGGAGGATAACTGCTGCAGTGGCAGACTGGCAGTTGTCTGTTGTTCTGTCCTCCAGACTCTTCCTTATACTTGTGCCAGAGATTATAGCCTATCAATGATGGGATATCGAATTCCAGAGAGTTGTCGCTGATTTTTGTCCCTGTTTTCATGGCACCAATGAATTGGTATTAAACTGTCGCTGGCAGCTCTCTGCACACAGTCTTGGAGCTATTGGATGGTAGGTGGTGATTTGGATTAAAGCACATGGTATGACACAATGACAGGAATTCTGGTCACTTTGGTATACTATGAGTATATGATCTAATTGTCAGGCTTCGGGTCGGGGTGTGCAAGGCTTCTCCTGAGAAACATGCACCCAGAACAAACAGAACAAACAAGTCATTGAGCCTGCAAGCAAAGCAGGCAGGGTTGAATCGAACCGAAAGGGCCTGTAAAATCTGGGATACCATATATATAGGATGTGCAAACTGTCGACAGCCACATAGAAATACTTGGGAATTTTGTGAACCAAATCAATCCTGAAAGGTCCGAATGGAAATTGAACCAAATCGATCTGGCCTACTGTAGTTTGGGCAAACAGAAATCAGATACAAATAGAATAGTTCCAATAGCTTTCCAATTATAACAGGCCGAAATCAATCTCAATGGTGCAGTTCAAGTCTTTGTAAACTTTAGAAATACTCAAACATAATAGATATTCTTAGCAGCCACAAAAAATGGCCTTCAGACATTTTGACCTAGCCTGTGAACTTTAGAAATAATTTTTGAGGATGCCCAGGCTTTCCTTTGAAAGATTTTGAGTTTTCAAGCTGTACAGGGGTGAAACCCATTCATTTTGACAGTAAAAATATTTGAACCTGTTCTCACTGGCAAAAACAGATCAATCTCCCTCACATATCTTGCAAAACTGAGTGCTGATAATTCCAGAAACTACATTCCATCTCTCTAAAATTCAAATTCCATCTTCTTAGCACTCAATAAAATTTCATGTTTCCTAATTTGGCAATACTTACACTTCGTCAACATTTCAATTTGACGTTTATCGTTGATCAAAAAAAAGCTATTAGAACCCAATTGATCATGTTGTCCTTTTGTGCATGAGGTTAAGTATAAAGATTGCTGTCATGCTCCTCCGTTCGAGCCGACGATCGTCGATCCGCGGGTCAAGCAAACGTTAAGTAGAAACTATACCTGAGCTTGAAATGTAGCATCCGTTTGTTTTCTTCCCAGTGGGGCTTGCAGCTGGGCCCGACCCACCAGCAAAGTGGTACCTGACACTTGTTCTCGCCGCCTGGTCATCTAGGCGAGACATCACGCGATCAATCATTCAACGATCGTCCCACGCCGCGTGGCTTGTCTTCTCCCGCCATGTCGTCCCACCGTGACTCCCGCCCACTGCAACTGCTGGACCTCCCTGCAGAGCTCGTCCACACGTGCCTCCTGCCCTTGTCGCTTTCCGACCTCGCGCACTGTCTGCACACCGGCAACCGCGTCCTCGCGGAGATAATCTCCTCGTCGCTTGCGATCCGCTATCGCGTCGCGCAGGAGCTGGCGGGCGTATCGATATCGGAGAACCGCACTGCGCAGGGCCTCCGCGGGCTGGACACTGCCTCCCGCCTGACGGCCCTTGACGCGCGGGAGCGGCGCTGGCGGGAGTTCTCCCCGCTTTCCCGCCACACGATTCCGTACCCGAGATTCCCGGTGATGCTGTATGCGATCGATGCCGGGCGGTGGCTTGCGGCGGAGGCGGGCACGGGACCGGGGATGCAGGACAGGGCGGTGGCGCTGCACTATACGGAGCTGGCCCCCGGAAATGGGAAGGGGGACGCGGACTCGGAGGCACGGTGGCGGACGGTGTTTACGGGGACGCCGTTTGCGAACTTCTCGACGGCGCTGGTGGAGCATGATTTGCTGGTGATTATTACTGTGTAAGCCGGCCGAGCTACTCCTTTCGGACGCTCATGGGTATCGCTAGGGTGCCTTGTGCGGACGACCCAGCCAAGATCTCGCTGGATGCGCTGATGTTGTCGTTCTCAACGGGCGCGCCTCACCCGATGGCCTCCAGCTCGACGATCCACATCGAGCGCCGGACCGTGCTTGACGCGGTGACAGACGTGGCGGTCGAGATCGTCGGCGACATCCTGGCGATCTCGCTCATGAACGCGGTACACTCCTTCGCCGACTCAAATCGCCTGCACGTGTTCGATTGGAAGCGCGGGGTCACTATCTTGGTGCGTGAATCCTTACAAACAGCGCACAGACTCGGAGGCCAACGCTGAACCAGACACCCACGCCGATAACAAGCATCGGCATCATGTTTCTCGCCCCCGGTGTGATCCTGGTGCCCAACGCGGCTGACAACGGTCTCGACGTTTACCTTTTCCCGCCCTTCTCCCCGTCCCCACTCGACCAACAGCCAGTACAGTTGCTTCTCCCCGCGCTCGCCCCGCGGACCGTGCTCCCCCCAATGGAGATGCACTGCCGCCAGTCACCGAACCCCCGCCTGTCCACCGAGCACCCTCACCTCTCCCCCGTGCGCTTCCCACCCGCGGCCGACGCCGCGGCCGTCTTCATCTCCTACGAGACGGAACAGGCGGTGGACGAGCGCTTCACCGGGACGACGACGCAGACACACCTCTTCGTGCTCCAGCCTAAGCCGATGCTTGCCGTGATCCGCGCGGCCCGGGCCCGGACGGCGGGGGTGGCGCCGGGTGATCCGGCGGTGGTGCCGTGGACTGATTGGGGCGCACGGTGCACGCGCTGGCTGGACCCTGTGGAGACCGCGCCGGCCATGATCCTCGCGAGCGAGGGGCAGCGGCTGCTCAGCTACCCGCCGTTCAACCCGCGCGGCTTGGCGGGCCGCCCCCCGCAGTCGCTCCGCATGTTCGACTTCAACCCGCGGCGCGTTGCGGCCGCCCGGCGCACGTCCAAGCTCGGTGCTGGGGTCCGCCTGGTCGAGGCCGGGCCGCTGCCGCCCGAGCTGTGCGCGGACTTTGCGGAGGCGGTGGGGTCGGGGATCGCGTATGTGGAGAGCACCGCGCCGGAGGGGTGTGATTTTGATAACGCGTATTTGAGCGAGGAGTGTATTATCGGGCGGAAGGTGTGTGCTTTTCTGGTTTTGGCTCTTGTGGGGTTGCTGAGAGGCGGCAGTATGAACATGAGAAGAGGAGGGGAGAACGGCTGGAGGTGTGGTATTTTGGGTAATCCAGGGACGGCCTGGGAAGGGTGGTTGATCTGGTAAGTATGTTTGCGCCACTTCGATGGTCGCTCTGACATTCAGTCGCTTGCCCAGATGTATATGACAAGAGCGTGCTGTAGTAAATGTACTTATGTGCAAAAGCTAAATCACAATTTAAACTCCGGCAGCCGCCGGCCCGGGGCTGGCGACGCAAAGCAAAGAGAAACCCAGCTTTTGATTTACCGCGCCGGTACGGAATTGGCGATTCGTCATGCGGATGACCGCCGACATCCGCCCGACATCTCTGCAACGGGACCTCCGGCGGAACTTCCGGGCGGGGAGATATATATGAGACAACACGTCATCCGCTGGCCACCCTCTTCTCACCCTCCTCTCCCACCAACAGCATGAAGGTCGGGCTTGCCGGATGGTGGCAAACGCAGTCGACGCCTGCGATCCCCCGCGCGACGCTGAACGCTGCGGCGGACCTCGGCGGGAAGACGGTGCTGGTGCTCGGCGCGAATGCGGGGCTCGGGCTCGAGGCGGCGGCGAACTTCGCGCGGCTGGTGCCGGCCCCCGGGCGGATCATACTGGCCTGTCGGAGCGCGGAGCGGGGCGAGAAGGCGCTTGCGCGTGCGTGTGAAGATTCTCTGTGCATGGGTGGAAGACTGATGGTCGGCAGATGTCAAGACGACGACGGGGTATGAGGGAAAGCTGGAGGTGTGGCAGGTCGACCTGTGCGAGCTCGCGTCGGTCGTGCGCTTTGCGGACCGCTTCGATGCGGACGGCGGGCGGCTAGACGTGCTTGTCGCGAATGCGGCGATCATGCCGCAGGTATACCACGCTACGAAAGACGGCTTCGAGGAGAGGTACCGCGATATTTCTGCTTTCTGAGCGTTCCACTGATCCACGGCCAGTCTGCAGGTCGCGGCCATCGCAACGCCACACGTGATCCTGCGGCTGCTCCCTGCGATGCTCCGCACGGCGGCGGAGCACAAGACACTCCCCCGTATTGTTGTTGTCTCGAGCGACGGACATTACTGGGCGCAGATCGACGAGCGCGTGTGGGACGCCCCCGGGCCGGACGCCGGCATCCTCCGCACACTCGGCAGCGCGGCGTACTGCGCACAGAAGGGCGCGATCTTCGCGCGGTACAGCATCACCAAGCGTGCGCCGCACCTGTTTTCTCCCGACTTTCGCGCTGACCTGCCCCGCAGTGCTCAACGTGTTCTTCATGCGCGCGCTCGCGGCCCGCCTCCCGGCCGACCCCGGCTCCGGGCCGGTGCCGCGCGTCGTCGTGAACGCGGTGCACCCGGGGATGTGCATCACGGACATCTTCGCCAAGTTTCCGCTCCCGGTGCGCGCGCTGATCCGCGGCGCGCAGCGCCTCGTCGCGTACACCGCGGACGAGGGCGCGCGCTTCCTCGTCTGGGCCGCCGTCGGCGACGCGGCCGCGCTCCGCGGGCAGTACATCGGCGGCGGCCGCCCGCAGGAGTCGAGCGACTTTGTGCTCAGCGAGCGCGGGCAGCGCGCGCAGGAGAGCCTGTGGGCCGAGGTGCTTGACATTCTGGGGGATGTGGACCCGAAGGTGCTGAGTATTGTGCGAGAGTACCTGGAGGAGCCGAAGCAGCACGCATAGAGGGAATTCTTACAACAACATTTAGATGTTTCAATGTTTCTGATTGCCTAGTACTTGTATACCATATATTATATACAGTTAATTTAGTGCTTCTTTCTTCCCTTGTCCATCCAGTACGCGCACCTGGTCGCCCTGTCGTCGAAGCGCGGTCAAAACCTACGCCCGGCTTGCCCCTGAGGCCTTTGTGGTCTCAACGTGTTCTTCATGCGCGCGCTCGCGGCCCGCCTCCCGGCCGACCCCGGCTCCGGGCCGGTGCCGCGCGTCGTCGTGAACGCGGTGCACCCGGGGATGTGCATCACGGACATCTTCGCCAAGTTTCCGCTCCCGGTGCGCGCGCTGATCCGCGGCGCGCAGCGCCTCGTCGCGTACACCGCGGACGAGGGCGCGCGCTTCCTCGTCTGGGCCGCCGTCGGCGACGCGGCCGCGCTCCGCGGGCAGTACATCGGCGGCGGCCGCCCGCAGGAGTCGAGCGACTTTGTGCTCAGCGAGCGCGGGCAGCGCGCGCAGGAGAGCCTGTGGGCCGAGGTGCTTGACATTCTGGGGGATGTGGACCCGAAGGTGCTGAGTATTGTGCGAGAGTACCTGGAGGAGCCGAAGCAGCACGCATAGAGGGAATTCTTACAACAACATTTAGATGTTTCAATGTTTCTGATTGCCTAGTACTTGTATACCATATATTATATACAGTTAATTTAGTGCTTCTTTCTTCCCTTGTCCATCCAGTCTTGCATCCAGTCTGCCTGTTTCTACAGTATAGACCCAGTTTCGATACCTTCAATTGTTTGACAAGACGATATCAGCACTGTGTGAATAACAACAGGACTAGATTGAGTATATACCTGTAACCTGACAAGACGATATCTACATAGAGTCATAACCATGTAAGATAGTGGGCCAGCAGCCATACTGTAGTAATTAGACCATAAGTTCATTAATTTTGAATTTTTTCATACCCGAGAGGGCCGAAAAATTTTCTTTTGATTTTAGGTGAATTTTAACACTATGTTTTTTTGGCCTGATTACGCATTACGCGAACTTATGGTCTAATTACTACAGTATGTCAAAACAACTGTTCTAAGTCAATGCATTACATGATCATGTGACCAGAAATGGGATATAAGTCAACTGTCTGAGATGAAGGGCTATTGGTTTGTAGAGTTCAGAGTCACTCGACTAGTCTCTAAAGAAAGCCTTTAGAGTATCTTTCTAGTAAAAACACAGGCTAATCAAGGGTTCATATAGGTGATGCCATCAATGAAATATATAATGAATATATATATAACCTTGGCAAGATATAACTATATTCATATTCATAATTCTGCCAGTGAACATGCAGGAGGCATATTATAATCATATTTATTCAAATATATTTAGAATATATCCTGGCATAGCAAAATTGTGGAAAGCATAAGTATTCATAGTCAAAATTGAACAGCACTGGAGAGGCTAAATTTGAGAAGTGGCTCGAAGGGGCTGTAGACTCAAAATCATGATGTATATTGATGCAATGATATGTTTCAGTTGATGTGTTGAACATGATTTAATTATGGGCAGCTACTGGTCTAAACAGAAGACATACTGGCCCAGCATCAGCAAAACCAAATTTTTCTGGAGGCTTCTGTACCATCTGTACATAGACCTTCCAGATCTCCCAGATCCCCAGACACTGACTAGGCCCAGAGGCTAAGTCCAAATTTAGAACAGCTCCAGAAGCCCACAGCACTCCCCAGCCATTCACCCAGACACTTACAGATATTGACAGACAATCATAAAAGCAGTGAAAAATCCATATCATTGGCTATAGCTATACAACAATACTGTAGTATTTTATTCAATTCGGCGCCCAAATTGGGTGTGACATCGGCGCCGAAATGAAATTTTCGGCGTCCGGCGGCTCCGAGTGTGACCGCCGAAAATGTTCGGCATATTACGGCAGGCTGCGCCACCCAAAAATGGTAACTCAGCCGAGGCAATTCGGCGTCTGGGCTGTGGGGTGTGACCGCCGAAAAAATTTCGGCATTTTGAGGCCGGTGTGACGCGTGACTGCCGAACTGAATAAAATGCTACAGTACAACTGGTATATAACAGGCACCCATGGCATGACCGTCGCACATTGGTTGCACTCAAAATTCCGTCAAGCCGCCCCTACACCCGCCCTTTCCGTCCCCATTCTGAACAAACAAAATATGGCTGGAATCCGATATGAGTGAAAGAGGATTGAAAAGAGAAAAGAATCATACCTGAACGGCCACAGGAGGGCCAATGAAATTAAGTTGGTGAAGTGTTGCTTACTCCTATTGACATGTGAGTGGCGGCGCAGGACTCAGCCGCGGAGCAGACGGGAGTATCGACCAAGCTCGCGGTGGGGAACAGTAGGGTTTAGAAGCACAGTGCGATGGCGATGGACTGGGTATCGTCTCAGTGAGCGGGAAGAGAGCGGTAGAGTGTCCATGCACCTCTGCGCACCCGATGGTGTCTATCAGCTTTGCAAACAGTGGCTTGCCAATGGCGAGCAGGATGGAGGTCGCGCATTGGATAGCAGCAGGTGGTAATGGCCGAACTGGATCGTGGCGTAGCTGCAGCAAGGTAGGGTGCTGTGAGTTGAACGTGTTTCGAAACAGTTTCGAAACCAGTTTCAAAACACGTGTGAGTTTTGAAATCTGCCGGGGGTCGACCCGGTTTCGAAACAGACACGTGACTCCGGGGACCGGCACCTAGCTTCCTGGATACCCGGACCACCCCATCGGCAACGGATGCCATGGACTCACCAGCTAACAAGGGTAGCGATGGCATGCTACTCCATTGGGCTGCAATGTCTGATGTCAGCAAGGAGAAGGGGGACAAGTGGACATACTCGGAGAAGGGGGCATAAGGTGTAGGCTCCAACGAGCGGGCGGAAATCGTGGGGGGAAGGGAAGCAACCCTGGTTTGAGGCTGTGTTTTCTCATGGCTCGATGACACGATCGGATCTTGATTGTGACAAGATTCTGATCGATCGTGTCATCGATGCATGTGCTGATTTCGGGACTTAACAAAATTCAGCGAAGTGAGACCATGAAAGTGAGCTCGTTTGTTTAGTCTGCTTGTACTACTACCACATAGGCAGATTCTAGCATAACATACAAGCACTTCTGCAATACCTTTCTGTGATCAAATATTAGCTTGTCTATAAGTAATATGTCTGGGATGATATCTGGAAATATCTGGAGCCAGACCGCTGTCTGGGCATCTGGGGAGAGACCACCCAGAATACCCAGATGCTCCAGATCCGCCAGAAAAATTCGGTTTTGCTGATGAGGCATATAGTTGAACAGGCAGCCTGAGTGGAAGCTGATAGGTGCTTAGGAAACCCCGGAGAGTCGGGGGGACAATGGTTTGAGGGAGTCAACACATCTGGTTGGATAGATGTATCTTTAGGGCTCCAACCCTTTCCATTTGTAAATATTTACAAATGGTAATAAACATTTAAACACCCATTTGATTTGTGACCATGGGCAAACATAAATTAAATACAAATGAATAGTTTAAATGGTTTTCACTCCAAACACACTCAAATCAATATCAATAGTGTGGTTTAAGTGTTTTTGTAACATTTACACTCATCACATCGCCCTCCGTTGGCTATTCAGGTACGAATTCGACAAATCCGATCCGGTACCTTGGCTCCGAGTCGAGCACAGCGAGCACACCGGGTCCTCCGATACTACTAGTGAAGACTCAGAGTCTGCACCAAGACGGCTACAGGTAGGAAATAACGCCAACTCAGCCGGCCTGCGCGGTGTCTGCGAAAAACTTGCCGAGCGGTGTCCCATCTTAGAAGACATGTTGGTCGACGGCGAGACATTCACGTATTGGTGGCGGGGCGGACTGGCGCGGCTCGGCATGCGGAAAGAGTTCATTGATGGCGGGGGTACGCCTGTCTTGCATTTCTGTCCTACCCATGTTAAATAGTAAGTTTCTGGAGCATGATTTGGCATCTGGAGCCGCGATAGACGAACTACGGGGGCGATGGCGCGCAGTTACTATTGTTGATGCCGAGACCGATGTCAGTGAGTACTAGTTATGTTTGGTGTATGAAGGTATAGGTTTCACTTAGACTCTTTCTACACTGGTTGTAAATGTTATTTTTACCCCGTCTAAATTTCCACTGAGACAGGAACTGACGTCCACGGCGCGGCGGTCAAAGTCGTTCACCGCGGGGACCCACGCAATGGTGTCCTCGCCCCACCACCATGCGGTGTGGAGCTCGATATGGTGGATGTGTGGGAACGCGGTGCGGACATCTGCGAGGAGGGGCGTGGGCCGGTTCCAGCGCAGAATGACCAGCGTCTCAAGTGCGTCATGACAGCCCCACCCCTCCAGAAGCTGCGCGAGGCCAGCGAGGTAAACTGTGTCGGGGAGCGCAACAAGCTCGGCGGTGGAGAGCGGCCCCGGGAACATGCCGACAAACGAGTCTTTGATGGCCAGGCAGCGCAGGGCGGGTGCGGAGATTGCATGAAGGAGGCCGCCAGCAGTCTTCACCTCTACGCTTATTGTATCGAGGATGAGTGTTTCCAGGTTCGGCAGGGGGAGTGCAAAGGGGAGCGGCGCGGCGCCAACGGTGGAGGACAGGTCCCAGTCGCCGTCTTCCGCAGTCAAGTGCAGCCAGCACTGCACCAGGCACGTGGTTTGTGCCAGCACCGCGCTCGCGGCGGAGAGGGGCACGTTGTAGAGCTCAGTTGTAGTAAGATGTGCCCATGTGGCGGGTTTAAAAACAGCAGGGAGCGCTAGCACCGCCCGTGCATCCCCCAATACTCCCAGGGCGGCCAGGCGCGGTGCGGTGATGCCAAGTAAGCCGAACTTCATCAGCCCTGGCCCGCTGGAGGCCTCGATGTGCAATTGGCGGAGCAGTGGCATCCCCCAGACTGAGTCGGGATACGCATCCGTATTCGGGTCCGAGCCGTCCGGGTCCCGGGCCGAATCGGTCTCGGAGCCCTGCGAGCTGCCCGAGGCTGTCGAGTCCGCATCTGAGTCTGAGTCCGAATCTTCTTTAGCCCATGGCACATGAACACGTGCATACTCCCATCGCGCACAGTGCTCAAGAAGAATGGCAAACGCATGGCCACTGATCGTGAAGATGCCTCGATACCCACTGCGGAACACGACGGAGAGTGGGAGCGCCGCCGACCGGGCGAGCCACATGCGGGCCACGTCACAGCGAATGGTGTCCTGGGCGAGGGGCGACAGCGGCGCCGTGTTGGAGCGCCAGGGGTCAAGGTCGAGCTCGATGGCACGCCATAGACTGGGTGTGCTGTGAGCGACGGCGCGCCACCGCCCGCAGACTTGCGCGAGCTCGGTGGGGGAGCCAGGGCCAAGCAGCGGCGGGCAGTTGGGATACGCAGGGAGGTGCCATGCGAAGACTTCCGCGAGAGTCTCATGAGGGAGGCTGGTAATGGAGCACATGGATGCTGGAAGCAAAATTCAGGGTCGGTTGATATGTATCATCATCACTGATCGGCCTTTTCTGTTAATTCCATAGTCGCCGGCCCGGCCCAAATGGCATGGGGACTCGAATTCTCAAAAGTATGTATTTTGGTAAATAATATTACTACACATACGCGTCTTACAATCAGAGCCTGAGTCCAGCACGGCACCCCGAACATGTGTTGAGGATGGAGGTGGAGAGAGAGGCGCAGAGGAGCAGAGGGGATAGAAGAAGAGTATGAATTTACTACTGCTATTACATTGGTTTATATAGTGGGTAGATTTGTTCTAGCAATTTCTAGCAATAGTGAGCAAGATGAATAAGTAGAAACAGACAGAAACTCGGGGAAGGTCCGGAGCGGCCGGGCTGAATAAGCGCCGGCCGGCGATGCCATTCCCAACAACATGAGCGGCAGCCAAGGCAGGATCGTCGCCAAGCCACTCTGAATTGACTCGTCACATCTCCGTCACATCATCCCCTTTTGCTGTTGACATCCATAAATTCAAGGTAGGGCCAACAAGCGGCATAGCACAAACTGATTAAAATTAAATAAAAAAGTGTCCTACATATACAGCATTATAGTAGCAATTGGGTCTGAGACTGGCAAATGTGGGTATTTTCAGATTCCAAATTATCCTGGCAGGAGCTTAAGCTTAATTTTTGACTGAGAGTAATATTCCTTCAAAGCATTGAATCACACCAGGGCTTCTGCTGAGGATTGTTCCTAAAGTATAACATAATTCTAACGTTTAACAGCTCTAATTGATAATCAAGAAAAGAACACTTAATCCGGTCAAGGAGAAATCAAGTTCTGTATCAGGGCATAAAATCTAGAATATATTGAGACTAGCTATTTTGTTAATAATAGATGCATCTCACTTAAGCCTCAATATTTTTAAAAAAATCATTATTACCTCAATTATTTCTCTTTTTTCTCTCTTAAAATATATATAATAGTCATTTTTATCTCTGATATATTGGGTACATTTTGCTGCTGGACCTGACAGATCTGGTCTTATATTTTGTGGCATATTTGCCATATTTATTTGCTACAGATTATGGTTATGAAATGGTCTGTTGATATTAGCTTTGATGTCCTATCTGAGAACTTGATATGTGATCCAATTACTTGCAAATCAAGTCTACTTTCTTGAAGTTTTATTTTCCATCTGTTCAAGTTACTAAAATGTAAATTGGCATTGTCCCTGATATGAACTGTATGAGTTATCCCAAGTCCTTGGATTATTTACATTTGTTACCAATAAAATAATATATCTTGAACATGCATATATGACTTTTGGTTTACCATACTCTGGGAATACTATGCAAAATATTTTCTGGGCAAGCTGTTTTCTTTTGTAAGTATTCTAGTATTTTAACACAAGAGTACTAGGCAAAATGCACTGGCACGGGTTCCTCAGAGCTCACACGTCCACGTCCACGCCGCCAATCGCCGTTTGACACCGGCCGGAGCGGCTTAGGTCCTTATTCGCCGAGAGCTTAAATTTTTCCGCCACATCGGCTGAAACTGGGACCTTAATGCTCTTCGAGGCCCTCCCTGGATGCAAAGCAGCCAACACACAGTCCATTATGTCACCCGAAGCGCCTAGTAGTACTTACTTTTAGTATACACACATAAACAACGAAAGCAAGATCCAAAACGCCTCCTCCCCACCCTACAACGCGACTGTGATGGTGTCCTTGTTTATGCTGCTGCCGACCTTGGCGCGCGAGTCCTGGTGGTGGAGAGACCATGCACCAGTGTCGGTGCCGGTGCCGCCAATGGAGGATGCGGAGTTGTGCATCGCGCCGAAGACGCTCGTGACATCATCATCATCGTGTCGTGCCAGGCCGACTGGCTGGTGCGCTTGCTGCCGGTGTGCGTGAAGACTGGGATTGTGATGAGGCTGCCCTCCGCCAGCTCTGCACAGTGCTTGAGCAGGTCCACAGCGTCTCATGCTTGAGCAGGAGGTCAAGCATTGTCTGGGGTATGACAAATACCCATGGATAACCTGTGCAGGTACCCATATCCGTGAGTACAGGTACCTGTTGCTGCAAATGCAAATATTGGTTTTAAAGCCTAAATTACCCACAGGTAGAGTACAGGTATTTATCCGTGACACTTGTGAGAAGCCTTAGGCCAGTTGGTGCTTGAACGGAAGCTGGGGGGTTGTTGCTGCCATGGAAGATGGAATGGCCAGACAGGGCCAGCACCCGCCATTTGGCTCAGGACAGAAAAACGACAGCTGTTTTTCACAAGAGGGGTTTCACATTCACATGTTTTTTGGCTCGTTTTTGTGCTGATATGGACTTGTATTTGGCTTAAAGGCCTGGGTGTGTATCAGGGGAACCCCCTCTTTGGCCTCCTTCGGACCGTCCAAGTGCATCCGAGGCACATCCAACTCATCCCGACCATCGTCCATGGCCTCCTTTGCCTACACAATCACTGATTTATCAAGACCCTCCCAACGATCACCTTGGGACAGTGCCTGCAACACCGCTCAGGCCTTCTGCGCTCTACGTCGGCAGTTACGGACGACCAGTATATAGTTGGCGCCCTAGCAGGTGGACCCTTAGAGTTTCTTCTCTTTGGATCCTCCCCTGCTAGGTCGGTCCCTCCATGTATTTCCGTAGCTTTTATTCACGCTTTGGATCCTCCCCTGCTAGGCTTTCGTCGGAGTCTCCAGGGTTGCCCTTACAGTGTGACATTATAGAAGATTTTATCTAAAAATGCAAGTATAGGCAGATAAGCTGTCTTCACCTGACCCTATGCTGACAGTCAAGGTTAAAAATACTAAAAAAGTTTGTATAATATTATATATATATTATCTTATGATTGATTATCATATATCATATATTTCACATTATTATCTTTATATTATATCATGCATAGTATATATATTCACTGGTGTCGGCTGGAGCGCATATATATATATCCCCAGCAGGACCTGACTTGGAGCACTGACACAGAGGGGAATGATTTATTGAGTACAAAGCTGTTGAAAACTTAAGCATGATAAATTATAATGCCTCACAATACTGGGGACCTCAATTGAAGTCAAACATGCATCCATTCCATCCCAACCTCCTTCAATCCATCCCATGGGCTGGCGTCGGGCTCCTCCTCCGGGGACCCACTCCGGTATTGACCGAGCGGGCCGAACAGGAGCGGCTCGTCCTCGGTCCACACCTCATGAAGCTCCACACCCGGGCTGAGCCCCGGCCCGGCGGCCGCCCACAAGTCCCACTCCTCCGTCAGCATGCCGACTGTCTGGCGGACGTGGATGGCGCGGAGGACGCCGGCGCGGGCGGACAGGATGCGCGCGAGCAGGGGTGCGACGTCGCCGGGCAGGCTGGTCGCGTCCAGCCACAGGTCCGCCAGGAGCGGCATCCGGCCCGGCACGGCGAGCAGCGCGAGCAGCCGCGGCATGGTCCAGCGCCACGGGCCGAGGTCGTACCGGATGACGAGCGCCACGAGGGTGCGCAAGTCGGCGTCGGCCAGCGCGGCACGCAGCGCGTCCGGCGAGAACGAGTCGGCGGCGAGGGACAGACGCGCGAGGCGCGGGAAAAGCGCGCCGATGCCGGCCGGCAGCATGATGTCGTCGGTCTGCGTGGCGGACAGGCGCAGCCGGCGCAGGTTGGGCAGGGAAACTGCGTCGTTGAAGAAGTCTGCGACGTCGCGGCCAGAGGTCCGCTTCCAGCCGAGCACAATGAGCGCCTCGAGCGCTGTGTGCGTGAGCCGCTCGTCGGGCCACGGGACCGCACCCGCCGCCTCGAAAAAGTCTCGGTGGAAGACCAGACGGCGGAGCTGCGGCATGCGCCGGAGGAGCGCGGCGATGACGCTGAGCTGCACTTCGTCGCGGAGCGCAAGGCACGTGAGTTGTCCCCATCGCAGTGGCAGGTTGAGGAGCTGCGGCCCAAAGTCCCGCTCTCCACGCGAGGATTCGCGCTGCAGGTCAAGCGCGAGGGCGGTGACGTGAGGCAAGCCCCAGAGATCAGTGTAGTGCGCCAGCGGCGGCCAACGGATAGTGCCGCTCTTGAGGCGGAGCACACGCAGGTTCCCGATGAGTTCAAGACCGGGCGTGTTGGCAAGCAGCGGGGCGCCCGTCTTAGGCTCGACGATCTGCAGCATGGCCAGCCCGCCCGCGCACAGCCGCAGCAGCCACGCGATGAAGCTCTTGTTGATCTCCCTGCTTTGCTGGCCCGCGCGGGCATCCGCGTCGTACACCACCGATAGCGCCAGCGGCAGCTGCCTCGCGCGCCGGAGCCAGTCTTCGACGGCCGTGTCTGCCCCGCGCCGCGTGCGCACGTGCTCGACTGCCACGTGGAGGCTCGTCCACAGCGCGGGCAGTGCCCATGCGGTTGCGCGCCAGGTCCCGCAGACCCGCCCCAGCAGCAGGGGCGCAGCATCTCCGCTCAAGACGGCGTTGTGCGTCGTTGGGAGGCAGAGCATGAAGATCTCGCCCAGGACCTCGGGTGGGAGCAAGATTATCGGGCAAGGCGCGGGCATCTGGCGCTCGACGCTGGGCGGAGGGAGTGGCAAGGGGAGTGTGACGACGGATCTCGGCGGCCTTGCTGGATTTTGGAGGATGTCCGTCATGGCACACGGGAAAAGAAAACGGGGGTGTGACCGTGACCTGCGATGAGTCATACGGCTGAGTCACGTCTTGCAATCCTGTCATCAACGGCCATCTGCTCGAAGGTCGGACCTCGATGCCAACTGCCACAAAGGGTGCATCGCACATGCATGCCAGTGTCGGTGCCAGTGCCAGCTGCGAGGGGTGACAGCTTCGTGTTGGCCAGCCATGTACTTATGGCGCGTACAATCTGCCTCTCTCTGCCATTTTCCCTTGCTTACCTTTCCTCTGTGAAGATCATGCGAATCGAGCTCGACGCGCCGACGAACAGCCCGTGCTTTGTGGGCTCGTGGGTGGACTATGTCGCGTCGGTCCCGGCGCTCCCTGCGGTGTGCGTGGCGCTGCTTGCGCTGGCGGTAGCGCTCGTCTTCGTGCGCGGGCGGTTGGGGGCGGCTCTGCGCGGGGTCTGGGGGTACAATCGGAAGGAGAGACACGGGATGCCTGCCGCCAGAGCAAAGGTGGAGGATATGGTTTGATTCGGTGTGTGTTCCTCTTCCCTTTCTACTACTGCTAACTCTTCTCAAGTTCATGCGTCGACTGCCTTCCTCTCCGCATCCTCCCGCTTCCTCTTTGCGACCCCCTCCGGTGAATACCTCCGGTCGTATTCGAAAAGCGTCATCTCCCCCAGCACGTCGTAGTTCTTCTGCGTCTGCCAGTCGCGCGTCCCCGTTCTTTCGAGCACCCTCACATAGACAAGCCGCATGTCCTGCTGTGGCTGGGCATGTGCGTCCGCCTGGACCTTGCGGTGGTGCAGCGCGCGGATGTCCCGGAGCGCGAAGTAGGTCTTGACCGCCCACGCGCACGGGATCGTCTCGTGTGGGAGCGTCAGGATCTCGCGCTCCGTCAGCCCGAAGGCCTTCTTCGCGTCGCTGCGGTACATCACCTTGCATGTCATTCAGTCTCTTGCTCGAGATGGTGCAGGTGGCAACTCACGTGTGTGCCCCGCGGGTGGCGGAACGGCGCGCTCCGCGAGCTGCCCGGCTCGGTCCATGCGTCGGGCAATGCCGCCTCCCAGAGCTTGCGCGCCTCGCGGAGGACCTTGTTCTGCGCGCGTTTCGCCTTCGCGGCGATACGCTCGGCTTCGGAGAGGAGTGGCTTTGGCCGGGTGGCGCGCGTGCGCGGGGCGGGCTCGGGGACGGCGTGGATGCAGGAGTAGCGGCGGCGGCGGGCGGGCATGGGTTGTTCGGAATTGGGCTGGGTTTGGATTGCTGGGGACTTGGGAGGAGATGGCGTTTTTGAGTCGTTTTATACCTTTTCGATACGGGGGTCGAAGCGCGGCCCGGGTCCGAGTCTGTGCGGCGCAGGAAGATGGTGCACCGCACAAAGGAGATGTCGGTGCTTTGGGCTTGCTTTGGACGTACATCGCATCGACGCTTGGTTCAATGCCTTTTTTTGGCCACCAGGCACGCGCTGTGCGTGACGCTATGTATCTGCTTCCGTGATGGGCCATGGCTCGCGAGCGTCGATCTTGGCTTCTCTTCTTTCGTTGCGCGAATCTTCGATCCGCCGCGGCCGGTGGCGGGCGGCGGAGACACCCGTTGCTATGCATATGCGCGCGGGAGCGGCGCAAGCAAAGAGCGGTGGGCCATCGGCACGACCGCCCGGGGAACGACTACTAGTACGCGGAGACCGCAGACCGCCCGACCCCTCTACATATGCGTCTTGTGCTGCCCACACTCGCGGAGTGTATGACGTGCCTGACAGACGGACCGCATGTGCCCACGCCGCGGCAAGGTGCAACACAGGATATTGCGTTGCCGTGGCGGAGATCGATGGCGTAAACTGTCGACGGTCTAGGCCGCCGCTGACGGCACCGCACGCTGCCTCTTAGGCTCTTCTCCACCGTGGCCCTTGGCTGACGCGTGAATGCGGCGCTGTGCGTCTCGCACGAGTACCGCCACTCGTCGCGACGGCGCGCACAACGGCTACGGGGCGTGGCTCTGCTCGCTGGGGCTGTAAGCGACGCCGGCAGCTGCATATGGCGCCTAGCCAAACGGGGCACGCGTGCGTCCCGCTTCCGTGACACCCCCGCGACGGCGACGGCGACGGCGACCGTCAAACGACCAATCACACATTCACGTGCGCCCGCCAACGCATGCACCCGCCCTGCCGCCCCGTCTGGTGCCCTCGCGAGCCTGGCTCTCTGGGCACGCGCAGGGCCCGGGGTGCGGCTGTGCGTACAGCGGTCGGCGCGCCGTCGCCGTCGGGCACTCGCTAGGTGAAGAGGTGAGTGGCGCGCTCCCACGCCTGCCCGAAACCGCATCGGACGAAGGCGCTTAGCGAGGGCATTACCCAACCTCGCCGTCCTGGAAGTATATATGCACACGCCCCGCCGCCGCGGAAGGAAAAGCCACAAAAAACATCCCCTCCCCTCCGCTCTGCCCTCACACCCGCGTTCTGCTTGTATGCCCCGCGCCCGCGACGATGGGCGAGTATGACGACACGATAGGTGCGTGCTGCGCCCGCCTCCCCCAGCGCCCGCGCTGACGGCGGGCCAGGATGGGTGCTGCTGGCGGTCGTATGTGCGTCCGCCGTCCCTCGCTGTGTGTGCAAGGCTGAATAGCGGGCCAGTCAACACGTACATGTTCGGCGTGAACATGTCGCAGTTCTGGCGCTACTGGATCGCGCGTGCGTGGCCGTCCCTTTCCCTGTTTGCAGCTGACGGACGGCAGGCTTCCCCGACCCGCCGTGGATCAGGCTGCTCGTCGCGGCGCTGTTCGTGCTGAACGGCAGCCAGGCGGCGGCGGTGGTGTACATGGCGTGGATGTACATGGTCGAGTGAGTGGACATTGCGATGGTTTACGTGCGCTGACGAGAAGGGAAAGGAATTTTAACAACCCTGAGGTTGCCAAACGTGTGCCTCTTCTCCCCTCCCATCTCTCTCTGATCCTTCCCCCCAGTCGCGCTCTGGCCGTACCCGTTCACCGCGATGGGCACGGCGGTGCTGGCGCTGACGAACCAGACGTTCCAGCTGTACCGCATCTACCGCTTCACGGGCAACCGCTGGCTGTGCGTCGTGCTGCTGCTCGGCGGGCTCGCCGGGTGCGGGACGGGGCTCGCCGCGGCCGCGGGCGCGTGGATCGCGCACACGCTCGCGAAGCTCCGCGCGCTGAAGCCGATCGTGACCGCGAACCTCGCGATCCAGGCCGCGCTCGACGTCGTCATCGCCGGCGTGCTCTCCCGCACGCTCACGCGCTCCAAGACGCACCTCGGCCGCACGGACCGCGTGCTCGACCGCCTGATCCGCACCGCGATCCAGAGCGGCACGTTCACCGCCGTATTCGCGCTCGGCACGCTCTTCAGCTTCCGCTTCGCGACCGGCACGCAGATGCTCGGCATATTCGCGCTCCCGATCGGGCGCATCTACACCCACGTGCGTCGTCTGCTTACCTCATCACGACGGCTGACGGCACCGCAGACGATGCTCGACCTCCTGCTCGAGCGCGAGACGCTGCGGAGCCTGCTCGAGCGCGGCGCCGCGCCCGCGGAGGGCCACCTCGTCACGATCCCCGTGTTCGCGCACACGGGCAGCGGCAGCGGCAGCGCGCGCACCGGCCACTCGGCCCGGCGCGACACGATCGTCCTCGGCGCGACGCACGACTCCGCGTCCTCCGCCGGCGGCATCGGCACCGACACCGGCACCGGCACGTGGTCCCTCCGCCACCAGGACTCGCGCGCCAAGGTCGGCGGCGGCGCGGACAAGGACGCCGTCACGGTCGCGTTGTAGGGTGGGAGGAGGAGCTGTGCATCTTGCTTTCGTGTTTTTATGCATATGAACTTATTGTAGCCCGCACCTGTATGGTGTAAAAGTAGGTTTCGGGGTGATATAATGGACTTTGGTCTGGTGGTTACTTACTAAAAAGATTGTTTTATGAAGTCCCAAAGCGACCTCGGCCGGCGTCGAACGGCCGACGGCAGGTCGAATGCGCCATTCCACACGGCTGCACGTGTCCTCTTTGTGAATAGCGCTAGTACGCTAGTACATCACCACCAGGACTCGCGGGCCAAGGTCGGCGTCGCGCTGTAAGTAGGGTGAGAAGGAGGCGTTTTCCATCTTGCTTTCGTGTCTGTTTATGCATCTGAAGTACTAGTTATTGTAACACACACCTGTATGGTGTAAAAGGAGGTTTCGCGGTGATTTAATGGACTTTGTTTCGGCTGTTGTTCATCCAGGAAGGGCTACGAAAAGGAACAATGTCAGTGTTTTAATGACTGCGACGGATGAGCTAAGCCGCGACGGCCGGCGTCGAACGGCCTGTGGCGGCGGCGTAGGGCTTGGTTTATATAGGGATGTTTGTAAACCGGTTTATAAACACCCCTGTTTTATCTGTTTATAAACAGGCATTCTGGGAAGAGGGTGTTTATAAACAATGTGACACTAGTGTGACAGTCAGCCAAAGTGTGACATCTCTGCTATCAAAAGTATCCTACACTATAAAATTTCGCTGAGATAGTAGATATTGAAGGGAAACTTCTAGGCCTCACCTGGGACCACTATTAGTAGTATTTCACCTTGATAAATATATGAAAATTATATGGCGCGAGGCATAGTTGGGCTGCTGAGCCTGAAGTGTTTATAAAACCTAAAAACCGGTTTATAAACAGGGTTTTGGGGAGATTTTTTTACAAACTGTTTGTTAAGGCCAAAATTTTTATAAAACCAAGCCCTACGGCGGCGACTGGGACGCCGTCTGTGGGAGTATGTTGATAACGCAATGTGTTTTTGGTCGGCGTTGGTTGCAAGCGTCATTCTGCTTGTGCGCTTTTCGTGTTCCTTTGAAAAGCAAAACATTTAGGGACCACTACTATCCGGGATGCCGCTCCGGCCGGCGTCGAACGGCCACCTGCGATCCGCAGCGCAGCGAGAGCCTGAGTGCGTACGGCTGTACACTATCACGTCTGCCAGTGCTGCAGCCTGTAACCTCAATCATCGTGTCATCGCCAACTTGGTCAAGCATCGTGTCTGGCTGGCCGCTGGCTGGCAGGCAATTCTTTTTTCACGGCTTGTCAGGAAACAAAAAAAAAGGTAAGCTTGTGTCCACGAGGAGATGCTTGGTGGAGAGGTCGCACCTGGGGCGATGCACTGTCCTGGTGGCCGTCGCATATATCAGGCTCCGAGTTATTACGGAAGTTTTATGCAAGTTGCATAAAAACAATGCACTGGCACCCCTGACTTGAATGATTAAGCCGCTGAGGCTCCGGCCCGCGTCGAACCGGCCGGCGGCGCACGGGAATGCTTCAGCGCAGGAGAGGGCCGTGGCGGTTCGCAACCGTGCAGGTGGCGCAGTCCTGGCAGCCAAGGGCGTTGTGATAGAGTACTTATCACCTCGTCCAAGTCACATAGAAGATGTGTGACGGCTCACACGGCTCACACGGCTTGCACGGAGGATCGGTGACTCCGCGCCTCGTGGCCATCAGGGTATACACGCTGCTTCCACGTTGTTGCCATGCTTGTCTCCCTTTCGGGCCGGGGCCTTTCCTCTGCACCACCATCTAGCGAGGCGGTTCACTGGCACGCAGTCCATACATGGCTACACATCATCATCACCATTCTTATAGTGGTATGGATCAGCAGCAACTGCCAGCTGAGCACAGCAGCTTACCACACCTTTAGGTGGAACTGGGGGCAATGGCGGGTCTGGCAACACACAGGGAGGACCCGGGGGAACGGGGATGGGCCTCACAATTATACAGGGGGATGCTGTCTTACATGCCAGTGGAACATTGCCCATGTAAGCCTAGTTTCATACCATTGGTTGCTCTCTCACATTGTGCAGACAGCAAATGAGTAAGAAGAGTGGAGTAAATGTCTGGCTATAAATGACTGTTTGACAGATGAACCTTATTTTGGATGCCCTTCTCCCTCGCCATTCTTTATAGGACGCAGGGATATACTTGAAGAACAATGTGATTACTTTGGACCTGAATCACCAAACTCTCAGTTGACAGGCCAGAGGCAGCAAAAAATTGCCCTCTTACATGGTCCTGGTGGGGTGGGAAAAACAGAGTGCGTCCTATCATACATTGCAAACTCAGGAAAAAGGGAAGTTTGTCAATTTGTAAATAATCAGTTATAATTCATTGTTATTTAGGTTTAGGGACCAGTTTTTCATTGATGCAACCAGTGAAAGCACTATTCAGACTAGTTATTTGGAGATTGCAAAGGTCAAAACTTT